ATCATCATTTGATTTACTCGATGATTGAGTATCCCTCTTAACAGTGAACTTCTTAAGCCATTGTCAGTGGGATTATATGCTTTTTTTTTGCTGCTGGATTCAATACAGGAACATGGTGCAATTAAGCTGGCTTTGTATGTATGAGCTTGAGATGTTGGATGAGAATGTGAGAGTTTGCCCGGTAATATGGAAATGTGGAATCACCTTTTTAAAATTCTTTTGGACAGTGAATTGTGCTTAAACAAGTTGCAGACTTCTTTATAACTAGTCCATACGATGATATTGACATATTGTTGATGTATGTCATTCACAAAATTGAATGTAGATTTGTGACTAGAAAGACAAAATGTTCTTTAATAGCTGGGTTTCCAGTGATACATGATTTAGTTGGGGACATGTCGAAGTCTACACTGTATTTAAGTAATAAGGGAGGTTTGGTATCTATCTGTAAATTAAAACTTCAGATATGAAAGTGTAAGTGCAAACTTTTAATATGACAAGCTTAATGCAACTAACAATACAATGAATGCAAATGTGAAAGAGGACTTCAGCATACTACCTAAGATGAACAGACACTCCTACTAGGGTCACCTTCATATCGTATCGGTCACTGACACTCCTCTGACACTTAGAAGATGTACTACGTGCATTTTTTTTCCTTGCATTAGGAATATATTGTTGAAGTCAAATTACATATTTCACAACTAAAAGTCAAACTAAAAAAAATATTGATTTTTTAAAAAAGGTATAAAAACAAAGAATTTGTTGAAGGATTTTTGTGATGAACTTGAGCTTGTGACCTTGTACACAATTCACCCCAGACTCATTGAGAACCATGGCTGGCTAAGATTTCAAAAATTTTGACCTACAAAAAATGGTACCTACTCATAAGGTGATAATGAAAGTATTAATCACAAGTAAAATACAAAATAAAAAGATTAAGCCATTAAGGGTAAGAAAATTGTGTTTCTTCCCAACAAACGCTTGTTTGAAGTCATTAGCTCGATTTTTGGGCATGCTCACTCCGGATTGGCAAGAAGAATGGATGATGACTTTTCTTTCAAGAAATCACCTCTCAAGTATGGTTTAACCATTGCCCATTAACCTTGAAGTTCCTCGTTTCTTCATACCCAGAAGTCGAGTTAACGACTTTAAACAAGCGCTTGTTGGGAGGCGACCAATTTTCTTACCCTTACCCTTAATCTTTTTATTTTGTAATTTACTTGTTATTAATACTTCCATTAACACATTTTTTGTGGGTCAAAATTTTTGAATTTTTGAAGTCCTAGTAGGCCATGGTTTCGAACGAGTTTGGAGGTGAATTGTGTAAAAAGTCACAAGCTCAAGTTCATCACAAGCATCCTTTAACAAATATCCAATCAGGGCAGTTTTTCTTTTTTATATTTGTTAGGAATATTGGGCCTAACTCGACCTAATAAAACCGGTTTATTAGGGGAGGATTGCCCTCACCTTATTAAGTGGATCATTTATATTTTCCCGAGGAATGTGGGATTCTAATATGCCCCCTCACGCATGGCGTGGACCATGCCAAACAACTGTAAACAA